GCGGCCCTTTTTTCATTCTGTGAAGAATAGCTGAAAGGTGGTACCTTGTATAAATTCGCCTTGCATCCAGTTCTGTTCAAAGAGTTTTATTTAAAATTAAAAAACCAAGGCCTAAATGGATCACCCTATATGTACATATGTTTATTTCCAAATCGACCCATTCCCTAAAAAGTAAGGTAACCTTATACATATGTATGTACATAAAAAATCTTGTTTTTCTTTATTTATATATCACATTCGAAAATAAGTATGTTTGCATAAGCAAAGGTTTTTAATCCGACATAATTCTTTAGATACCACATATTTTTGATTATCGGAAAACCGAATGTTTTTGGCATTTTTTTGGACTTTAACGTTACATACATTTATCAATGGCTTAGTACAGCTACTATAAAACAAGGAACTTTTTAATTTTTATATATGTACAAAAGAGGGAAGTGTGGGATTTATAATAGAATTCTCTAGTTGCTTAAAAAAAAAATATAATAGTCTTCGTGCGTACAAAGTTGATCCCTTTTCATGTAGAAACACAAGTATTTCCAAGAGGCTTCCGATATGCTTTGCTATTTCTACAAAGAGTAAGTGAAATGTTATCGCTGGCAGCACAAATCTCTAATATAAATCACACGTTCCGGTTTGTGTCTTTCATGTGACAGCGCCATGTGACAGCGTCATCTGCCGGCAATTAAGTAAATGTCTAGCGACGTTAATAGCATACAGTCACGTATCGCAAGGTTGCTGACGATTACGGCGTCGACGACGGTGACGCCGCACTAGCGCCTCTATCGACCACGAAGTAGCAGCCATAAATGACATTGCGTTGAGGAAATGCAGGGTGATCGAGTAATTGAATCGATCGCGTATGAGACCTGAAATTAAAAACGTGGCAATGTGTAGTGAATGCAAGTAATAGCAGAGAACTTAGATAGATAGAGAAGGTGCAAATTTTTGGAACGTAAAATTGTTTGGCTGAAAAATAAATCCATGGAATATCGCCACAGCGCGATTAACATTTCAACAAGAGTTAACAGAGAAAAATGTAAATTTGTGTTGTGATAATGTTATATTTGTTGCAAGCGTCTGGCTATGTGTTGCTAGGTTGCATGTGAATGCAGAAACGTATTCATGTATATTTTTTGTATAAAATTAATAAATTAATATAGTTAAATTATATTAAATGTACTTTTATATTAGTTAGAATTGCTGATTTGCATCTCTGCATGACCATTTGTTAAATATAATTTATTCAGTAGTTAATGTTGCTAAAAACTTAAAAAGCATCTGTTCAAGTTCGCTTCTTGTACGAGTATTATATTATGTAAATAGTAAAAATGCATGTTAGTTAAAAAAAATGATAAAATTGGGTTTTTCACATACTCACTTTAAAGATGGACGCATTAACAAAAAAATGTATAAAGCAATGTGTTTGTTAACTTCAAAATTAATTTTCGAAGATATTGGCCAGGGAATGCTTTAACTCCAAAATGTAGATTTGTTATCTAATAAATAGGTGAAAGCTATGCAAATATGCAAACTCATTGGTGATTTGCCGTCGGCATTTGGGTCGCAAAAATCGTTTTTTTTTTTTTAACGATTCTTATTGTAGTTGCTACACTATTTTCAATGCAACAAATCCCAGTTTTCTAACTGCCTTAGTTTTTTCACAAACTCACTTTAAAGATGGACGCATTAACAAAAAAATTTACAAAGCAATGCACTTGTTAGCTTCAAAGTTGTTTGTGGCTTTTACTGCAATACTCGTAGATATTATTTGTAAATAATAGTTCTGGAGTCAAATGCAAATCCATTTCCCAGGCATGCGCATATGGATACTTGTAGTACATACAGATGCGATCAACTAATTAGCAACGAAATTCAAAATGATATTGTTTGCAAATTATGTTTATTTATTTATTTTTAATAATTTCCTTTAAAACAAAATTCAATCTATAACAGAAACCACAATAATAAAAGTTTAAAAGCTTGCACAATTTGCAAAATAATTAATCAAACTTCAAAAAATTGTTATAAAAATTTAAAAATTTTTAGTTAGAATATTTAGAAAATTTTCGGGTATGCAGTACTGTAGTCCATTCAATTATAGTATATGAAAGTCCAAGCTTCTAGTCGTTAAAAATTACCGTTCATTTTTTAGAATTTTTTTGTGGAGGGTTGTTCGCATTTTCTTCCATATAACACATGAACAAAATTTTTTTTTGTATGGGAAAAAACAGCAGTACCCCAACAAAAAAAAACCTAAAAAATCAACGGTAATTTTTAACAACTTGAAACTTGCACTTTCTTATACTATAATTGAATGGACTAAAATACTGCATACCCGAATTTTTTTTAAATATTCTAATTAAAAATTTTTGTGACCATTTCTTGAAGTTCAATTCGTTTTTTTGCAATTTGTGCAAACTTTTAAACTTTTATTATTGTGGTTTTTGTTACAGATTGAATTATATTTTAAATGAAAATCATTAAAGATAAATAAACATAATTTGCAACAATATCATATTGAATTTCGTTGCTAATTAGTTGATCGCATCTGAATGTATGCATGTACATATGTACTTACATACATGTGTACATATGTACCCCATACACATACTCCAAAATCATTTATTGATAACGTTCTTGCACCTGCACATAATATTACATATATGTAAGTACATACTAACTTTCTTCTTATTTGGGGCTGACAAACTTTAACTTAAGAGTCGACTTTATTTCGTCTACTAATATGCCCCAATAGTTTTGGAGTCAAATGAAAATGCATTTCCCACGCATACATATATTTATCTATATATACATGCTCCATTAATTGACAACGTTTTTGCATGCATATATAAGTACATCCATACATACGTGCATATTGCTGTCTAAGTACTACGCACATATATGCAAATGTACATATATGTAAATATATGTACAAGTCACGGCAGCATACATACACACATACATAATTACGCGCATATTCAAATACAACAATAACTATTTCATTTCTAAACGCATGCGCATATTTCTCAAGGCCAAGTAAATTCATTCATAAAAACAACCGCAGCACATCTCCCCGCAAATTCATCACCATCAAGCGCAACTTTGTCAATCCGACACAAAAATTCTAAAATCTTAAAATGAAGAAATCTCGGCCAGCCAAGTGAAAAGTGGCAATTATTTCTCTATAACCAGTAAAATAAGTTATCTCGAATCTTGGCAATTTTTGGTAATTTTTGACAAAACACTATATTTCTCTGTTCCATACCAATATTTAAATAATTAAGTAGTATTTTAAAGTGTCATTTTAATAAACATTAAATAAAAGTGTACGTTTTCTGCAGGAAAATACATTATTTTTTTTTAATAAAATCAAAACTTCTAAAATCACAAACATATGTGGTTTTATCGGAAGTTCACAGATGTAACGTGGCAACTTAGCTCGTTTTCACATTTTTCGGTCCGAAATTGTAAAATTTTTGTCCATGACGCGCCACGATTTTTGTACAGGTGGGTCAATGTGCCTTGAACACCATTTACATATATACAAAAAAATGATTTTATTTATTTTTTAATATTAAAAATTTCTATACTTCAAAGCGTTTATAAAAGTATATTTACATATATGCACGGACGATTTTTAATATTTTTCATCCGTAAGCAAATCTTCAGTACCATAAAAGATTCAAACACATCAAAGTACAAGCAATGCAATGTCCAAGCTAGTGCTACTCCACTGTACATGTGTATATGAATGTATGCATGTATGCGTGTAAAAAATGTCAATTCCAGTTGGTTTTTAACCCTTTTAGCGGACATAGTTTTTTTGGTTTCAGCTGGTTCCAACTGTTAATGAAGCACAATTTTTATGGTTAATCTTGATGAAAGTTACATGTATCGTCGAGAACATGGTTACATGCAGAATTTTAAATTAATTAATATTCTTCTCCATATAAAATGTACGAGTATGGCTTTATTAAATGTAAACTTATGCGAAAACCTAAATATTTCGTCAACCAAGGGTTAATTTTGGTGGCGTCGTGGCAATTCGCAGAAATTTAATAATTTGTCTGTGGTTGGCGGACGGCCAGGGGAAGACGAAAGCAGAACAATCGTACATATTTATGCACATATTTACATTTATAAATGCATACATATTTATTCGTTTGTCTTTTTGAATATATGAAGAATTTCATATATGTAGTGATTTAGAGATTGCCGTTTCAGTAATGTGCCGTGGCGTGTACGCTAGAGGCGATGCAACTTTTTGGCGTCTCGCCGTTTGTCTTGGTTCAAATCCCGGACGGACCAAGTAATAAATTTTATTTGTTTTTTTTTAATTGTCATATCCATATTCGATTTTAAATTTTACTATTAGCTTTATTTAAAATAATATAAATGGATATGTAGGTACAAACGCATGCATAATTTCACATAATCGCTCAAATTTGCCAAAAGTTACTGAAAGCTTTATTGTAAATGTTTTCACTAAAATATTAGTTATTGGAATTAAAATTTTATGCGAATCCAATTTTTATTCCCATTTTTAGAAAGCGCAAGTATGAATGTATATGTTCGTGCCACAAAAATTATTTCATAAGTAGTTAATTTTAAACACAAATATGTATGTACACTGGCAAAGTGAGTGCATCCTGTTTTTTGTTTAATATTTGCAATGTTTTTAAGT